GGTGAGGCTGTTTCAGAGACTGCACAGTGTCGCTGTCTCCCTGTGGTTAGTGAGGAGGCATCAAAGATGCAGCAACAAGTGCTAGAGCTGAAGTGCCCAAGGCACTGCTGTGAGACCCATGCAGGTCTTCGGGGCTTTGACCTGCAGCCACAAGTCTCTGGGGCATTTCTCTCCAGATTTGTTTCGAAGTAAACCTGAAAGCAATCTTTTATTTGTCTGTATGCCAAGAAACTGATATAAAATTACTTGTAGATTTTCTTATCTCTAGTACAACAGAATGTTCAGAGATGCCTCTCTGTCTAAAGGCTGCCTTGGAACTTGCCATAAAAACTATTAGAAGTAGAACGAGTTATGCCTGCAGGCAACATGAATTCTTTATTAGGCCAAAATCCAGTATGATATGAGAGATGGAATGTGTTAAAATAATTTCAAGGTAGAGTCTGGGTACCTTTGTTTACAAGGGAGAGTCAGGAGAGGGTCTAGAGAGAAAAGGTAATGGAGACCTTATAGCTGGGCTGTTTAGAATTACACCAGACTCCTGGTCCTAAAAGAGACTGTAATAGACTCTGTGATCCTCATTAGCTTTCATGAGTCACTTTATCTCTAGCAGATATGCTCTGATATTGCCCAGTCTCTCCCATCCTGACCTGCAGGGGTGTAGTTGGAGGAGAAATTCCATAGGAATTTAGTTCACTACAGATTTAGTATAAGCAGCATGTAAGATTTACAAGGCTATCTCTTCTCTATTAAGTTAATTTCCATTTCCTACAATTTGTGTTTATGAGAAATGTCTTCTTATTCATGAATTCATCCCATATTTATTATTATATTTATTCTGGTATAAATGCCAGAAACCACATTCAGTGAGGCTGCATGGGTAGGTACTGACAGTGAGGAAAAGGTGAGTAGGTATGGAAGGACAGATTGCAATCATTTTCAATAGCAGTCAGATTGTCAATAATATTCTAAAAGATTTAGAATTTACCTTGTAGGCAAGAGGAGGGCTTTTAAGCAAAGATGTGACTTTTTAAAGGTGATTTCAGGATGATTGTATTATGTGTAACTCAGAGAATGGACTGAGACAGAAAAATGGAGCTATGAGGATGGGATCCAGAAAGCAAAGGGGCCAATCGAGGGCCGTGGCAGTAATCTAGAAAAAAGTTCTTAGAGCTTTTGAGACAGAGTGGTGACTGTGGGACTGAAGGGGAAGGACAGTTGTGAGGGTGATTTGCAGCAGTAATTAGTAAGATGTGTGTGTGTGTGTGTGTGTGTGTGTGTGTAGAAGGCAAAGTTAGCATTGAAGTTTTGATTATGGGCCATCAGAAAAATCTCAGATGTTGCCGCTAATACAGTACAAGAAGTTCTGTAGAGAAGCTCAGAAATGGATGGAACCACTGCCATCACGCAGTTGCCACATCTAATGACCTGGACTCACTTTGTTCTCATCATCATCTTCCCTTAGGGAACGTCAGGCCAGGGCAGGGAAATAGCAAATGGCTGCCAGTTTAGTTCTAGTGCAAGGGATGTTGAAGCAGAAGGCTGAGCCTAGTCAAGAGGTTTTACCTTTAATGAAGAAAACCAAATCCAAGTGGCCCACTGAGGAGATAGATGCTGGGGAGAGAGGCTTAAATGCACCATGTTTTATCACTCACCACTCCCTCTAGTGTTCTCTTATCCTGAGAGAACACAGAAAGCTATTTCATCGGAATAGCTTTGTGAATGATTAAAAGCTTCTCTTCTTAATGCTAAGGACTTCTGAGTTAACTTATTTCTGAACATACTATATACTTAAGAATACACAACACATAGATATAATAATATAAAATAATATTGTAGTGTTTGCATTCAACTATATACGATGTACACAAAAATATAAGTATAATATAGTATGTGCACAGAATACCTGTAACACAGATGACTAGATAATTATATATAAATATATATATATAATACAGACACATATTTCATTTGTCTGTATATACACAGCATGTGCATATATAAAAATGTGTGACAGTGAACTGCACAGAGAGTTGCAGTTGAGGTTTGACCACAGCAGATCAGAGAAAAATTGGCATGCCTCTTATCGATTGCATTACCACGAATGTTCTGAGGATACTGGCTTCTTTCCGGGCCACATAATGTAGCAAATAAGATTCATTACAGTTTTGAGTAAAAAACATTTTTGTTTTTGTTTTGAAACACTACTAAGCCATACTTCCTCCATCCTGTGCTTGTTTAGCAGGTGTTTTGAAACCAAGTATGGACAACAGGGAGAGTGAATGACTTTTGGGGTTAGAAGTTGGTTTCTAGTTTACATATATTATCTGTAGCTCTGTAACTTTGGGCAAGTTGCATAAACCATATAACCCCCATTTTCATCATTTGTCACTGGCAATCTTAAGAATACTTACATTACAAATTTGTGAGAACTACATGAGATAAAGAACTCTTAACAGTTCCTGGTTCACAGTGATATTGACAATTATTAACTATTATAGTTGTATGTTATTAATATCTCAGTCTTTTAGGTAGAACTCAGTTTCCAGGAAATCACTGGGTATCTTTCTCTTATTAAACAACAGTGACTTCAAATATCTTCAAACATAATGGCAATCATAATTATAATTAATATGAATCTAATGCTCCTTGAATTTCTATATTGGTGAGTTGGATCATAGTAGTGAGAAACACAGAAATGGTTATCTCATACAGACACAGACAGTTGTATCATACAACTGTGGGGTAAATGTGACCTCTGAGGTAAAGAGAGGGTGCTTCTAGAGACCCAGAGAGAAGCAGAGCACACTGGGAAAAAGGGGTGGAGCCGCTCTGTATTGAGGATGGGCGAATAGAGAGCGAGAGAAACTAGACTGGGGGTGGGAGACAGATGGTGCATGCATTTCAAATACGGGAAAGGAAAAGCCTATAAGAATCTATGCTTTTGTAAGTCACACCACCTCCCAAATGTCATATAAACTATGCAAAATCCAAATAGAATGTCTTATGTCGTTTCTCCAGCTGAAGGGAAGTATCCCGACAAAACAGGCACAGAGAAAACCCCACCACCACCAACAAAATCAGGAAGTAGTAGTGGACTAGGTTTTTAGAGGTTGAGAAGGGAACAGGACCTATAGCACAACAAGTACATAGAGCATTCAAAATGTTCAGTACTCTAAGACGGATGACCAAAGAGCAAGGAGAGATTAAGTGAGGATTCAGAGGTTACACGATACAGTGAAATGAGCACTGTTGTAGTGAAGAGGAAAGATGGAGAGGCTCATGGATACTAGTCACACAGTTCTAAGAGTTCCCTCTCAAAGGGAAGCAATGTGATTTGGAGGAAAGAGCACTAATGGCTTTAGCATTCTTCGGAGCCTGGGTTTCAATCACAACTCTGCCAGGGCTGATCCAGTTCTCATTATTTAATGTGTGTGACAGTGTCCTTATCTTCAAACACTCTGAAGCACTCAAAGCCCTCAAGTCACTAAAGAGTTGAAATACGAAAAATATGCATTCAGCCTAGCACACAGTTCATGAGACAGTGCCTGAGTCTCTCTGTTCTCATTCTTGTTGACTTTGGATTTCTGATCATAAAGAGAAGAGGTGGGTGCTTACTTTTAGAACATTAGAGAAACTGGATCAGAGCATGTGGGAAATACAACAAGAATTTTACAAAGGTCTGTGAGAATGAGTGAGCAGTAGTAAAATTAGAGGAGAGTGAGGTCGTGTGTGTAAGTAGGTCATGTGATAAAGGACTGGTAAGAAATTAGGTGGACATGACGGACAGTGCTGAGGAGGGTGACAACTGTGGGGTAAGATTAATGATTATAGAGAGAAGGCAGAGAGGGAGAGAGAGAGAGAGAGAGAGAGAGAGAGAGAGAGAGAGAGAGAGTCCAGTGAGGCTAGTGCTGTGCCACCAGATAATTATCTAGAAACAACTACTAGGAACATTTGACAATAACACCTCCTTTAACTCATGATCTGAAAGAAATTTGTGACCTCCTTTGCAGGTTTTCCTAAGCAATTGATTCAAAATATCAATATTTATTAGAAAGGAAGGAATGGTTCCTTGAAGCAAGTGAACACTAAGTATCAGATGTGAAGGGGTGTAAGCTTCTGTAATACCCATAATTTCATGGAAGTGGATTTAGAGATTGGCTGTGAATAGAGAGGGCTTATTTCAGGGGCCCTGACAACCCCCATGGAGTTGGAAAACAAAAACCCCACCAAGAGATCCTCAGAGACAGCAGCCAAATGAGGGAAATCCATTAAGTTGTCATAGAATCTTAGCTGATGAGCCCATATCACCAGTCATTTTGTCTTCCATTTTCTTGAAATGAATAGAATTGGATTTAGTGTCCAGTTTACCATGTAAACAGATTTTACTGCCAAAGTACAACTGTCTTTGAAGGAACCATTGTGTTCTACTAGAAACAACCATGAATAGATGGAAAGACCAAGAATGGCCTTGTTGCTCACTAGTGCAGCTTTCTTTTTGGCACTGGGATGAAACTCCAGGTTCTACAATACGTGAAACAAGAACCGCAAGAACAGTTCCACTCTGATACAATGGCCTTGTTGCTCACTAGTGCAGCTTTCTTTTTGGCACTGGGATGAAACGCCAGGTTCTACAATATGTGAAACAAGAACCGCAAGAACAGTTCCACTCTGATACGGAGTTTTGGAGGAATTTTCAATATATTCCCCTAATGTAGATACTTCCCATAGGGAGCAGTCATTACTTATAAGTATATTTACTTTGAGGATATTGTTTCTAGTACTTTCTACTTTCATAACCAATGAATCTTGATGACTTTAGGTTTTTGCTGTCTTTCTTTAAGGTTTATGATAGAACTTGTCTCTGATTTGATTTTTCCTTTTCAGAGCTCCTCCTTGAGTGGCAGGGGTCATGTCCTCAATCGTAATCATCACCTATAGGACAAATACTATGGTCATGTTTAATTTTGAAGATTTATTGCTAAATTATAAAATCGAAGTCTTCATTTCTTTTCCTCTGTGAGTCTTGAGGGTGATCTTTCTCCATCACTGCCATGTACATGTTCATTTCTTTGGAGGATAATCTTAATATCCTAAGACAAAGACCAAAGGGAGGTTATACATAATAATAAAGAATTTATGATTGATGGCCTTCTATATGTGGCAATGATAAATCATTGGTTGCTTTTCATTTACTCTCTTTCCTCCATTTAGTTTGAGTTCCATTCTGAAACCTAAGTAGTTAAATCCTTGGAATGGTATCTAAGGTCTTAGAAATGCTCTTTTCTAATCCAGTAACGGAGATGTGATATTAAGCAATGTTTTTAAAAGAAATTACACAACTTTGTCACACAATATGTAAACCAAAAGACTATTTTCTTACAAATGAATAAAAGACAGCATTCACATTCTATTAAAGGAAAATTGTAATGAGAAATTAATCACGTCTACAGATCTGTAGACATTTAGAGCATCAGATTACTTTCCTGGAATTGTTCCTTCTCTCCATTTGCTTTTCTTACTATCAGAGACAGAATGTTTTACCAATTTAATGTCTTAAATCATAAGTAAATGTAAACTAATATCACAATGTAGAATGAATACCAACATATGTGGGAAACAAAAAATTGCATAGTGGTGGTGATTTTATGGTCTATTTTTCTACAATTTAGAGGAGTACTTGAAAAATGTAAGTTTATTTTCTTCAGAGCTGAGGTCCAAAGTTTTCAGTTGGTGGTCACTTTACTCATAAACACATAAGTTATTTCATGGTCTGAGCTGGCTTGTTGACTTGCATACAGAAGTATGCTGACTTGCATTACTTCTATCAGTCAGTGCTGGGAATCACAGTGAATCATCTTCCTAAGGGACCTTGTTCTTTGAAAACACCGATATCCTTAAGCCAAAGGTCAACCTTGAGTGAACCAAAAGGAAAAGAATGGCTGCTTCCCATGGACTTTAGGGCCCTACCCACTTGCAATTCTAAAGGCCAGGCGTCCTTTGAATACTATGTTAATAATAACAACTTATATCAGCCTTAGTTAATTTTGAGACTAAAGTATGGGCTGTTCTGTAACTGCCTGACACTCCACAGCATAGTAAAATTGATGTGCTCCAGGGAGATGTTAATCAACCTTGGCTAAATTTATAGTGGAAATAGGGTACCACTACCATCAATGTCAGTGAATGGAGAGGCCCTGAGAGGGTCAGATGTTCTGCACAGGTATTCTGGAAGCATGATGCATGGAAGCATCCATCATATATTGCAATAAAAAGAAAGGTAAGGCTGGAGGGTTAGGGTCAGATGACTTGAAGACAAAGTGGGAGGGAAACAATCTTCCTGTTACATTTATAATTATATATAGTTTGGTCTCTCCCTGTTTGAAAGGCACTCTCTTATGATATTTTGATTTTGACACTGACTGATACTATTGTCCACTGGTGATGTGCTTTATTTATAAGTTTTCCAAACAATAATTGCTATTTCTATTAGTTACTTTTCTGTTGCTGTGATAGAAACACCATGACTAAAGGAACTTGTAAAAGGAGGGGTTTATTTAGCTTACAGTTTCAGAGGGACAAGTGTCCATCATGGCAGGGAGCCATGGTGGCAGAGGTGGCTGGAGGAGGAACAGAAGATAAGCTTTCACATCTTCAAACAGGTACAAGAAGAAGAGTGTGACTGGAGATCTGGCAAGACTTAAGAACTCTGTAAGCCTGCCCCCAGTGATGTGACTCCTCCGACACGGCCACACTTTCTAAGTAAGACCTCCCAAAACAGTACACCAACTGGGGACAAAAATGTCCAAATACCTGGAGCCTATGGGGGACATTCTTTTTCAAACCACCACATTATTATTTGACAAGTACTCATACTAAGATATGGTGTGTATTAAGTTGTTGGAGAAAATCATTTGTTTGGTTACATTTGTCAAAAATATTAGTCACAGGAAATGGACTTTGCTCATCAGCAATGTAGTTACAATGTTCTCTTTAATTTTGTAATATTTACCCAAATAATTTTCTTTTGACAGGATCTCCTTAGTCCCAGCTCACCTGGAAATCACTTTGTGGACAAGGCTGGCCTCAATATCACAGGGATCTGCTTGCCTCTCCTTCAGTCTGGGGTTAAAGGCACTTACCATCACACGTAGCATCCAAATAATTTTTTTTTTATCATTTAAAAACATTTTGAACATACTTTCTTTGTATAGGAAAGTAGAGGTAAATAAGTGGCCTAATCTGAAAAAAAATCTGAAAAATCCAACACAAAATCTGGAACTTCTACAATGGTATTCACCACTGAACCACTCTGGAGTGTAGTTTGGAACCCTGATCACCATGACCCTCCACCAGTGAAAACTTTGTTTCTAGTCAAGAGAAGACACCGTTCATTCAAGAGATGAATGACAATACATTCACCTATCTATCCACTATCACTTCATATGGTGCATTTCAACTGGAAGTGCTTCTTGGGTACTGAAATTTCTGTTTCCCATATCAATAGTGATAACCTAACACTTTTTTTTATCTGCTGGGAACTGAGCTAAGTACTTTATGCATATTAACTAGTTTCATCCATACAAAAACCCATGAGGTAGGTATAATAATTATCAAAATGTTAGAGTTTTGAAACCTGGGATCTGTAATATCACATGCCCAGAATATTTCATAGATACCATTCCAGACCTCTTTCTCATTCTAAAAAGTCAGTCCACCTTACAATAGGAGCAGAAATTAAAGCATTTTTGACCATTACATTTACTACATTTTTTCAACTACATATTTTCAAATGATGTGGCTTGTAAACACAGACCTCATAAACAGAACTGTTAGGCAGCAACCTCCACTTCCCACTGTTTATAACAGCAAACAATATTCTAACCTTGAAAAACCACATTCTAAGCTTTTGCTCTACTTATCTCAAACGATCTTCAAATAACATCACTGTGGTTAAAGTTCATTAAAAAATGTGATCTTTTTTTTTGTGCATGGATATCTGGAGCAAAAGCCGAGAGAAGCAAGGTCTTCAAGGTCGATTTTCTTTCTTTCCCTTTCCTTTCCCCCATATATTCCTTTCTTTCTTCTTGGTTAGCAAAAATAAAAATTGAATGCCTTGTGGAAAGGGACCCTTTTTAATTTAAATCCAATATCCAGCTTTCTAGATCATTAAGAAAACTTAGGCTAATTCGGTCTGATCAAGGATAACGGACTTCAGTATTTTCCCATCCTCTCCTCTGGTTACTGGGTTCAATAATAAGGAAGAGACGTGAAGGGCAAGGAGAGCAAGAGTTGAAGGATCTGCCTCAGCCTTCCCATAAGCAACCGTTCTGCCAGTGGATTAACTCATGGACTACCTTTTTCACTGACAAAGTGAGCTAGCTTTCTGCCAATGGTGTGCAGTGACAATGACACTGAGTCTGGTTAACTGAAGGATGGTGCATGGGGGCTCCCAGAAAGAGTGCACAGCAGGGAGGTGTCTGTAACGTCAGAAGTGTACCTGATGATCAATATGTCAAATTCTCCTGGCATTCAGTGTGTGGTGACTATAAATCTTTGACATTTTGCTACACTCCTGCAGAGAAGGGAGCTGTGGAAAAAGCACTTTGCCAGGGGGACCCACAGTATCACATCTTCCCTCCTCTGAAGTTTTCTCTGGGAGACAGTAGGCTTCTGTGCTCCACTTAAACAGTCTCATGGTCTCAGTATCACCAGACACTACCTCGTCTTGCAAAATGAGATAAACACATGATTTAAGAAGAAACTTGTGGCCTCTGCTGTCCCTGGGAGTCTGGCACCTCTTCTGAGACTAACTCTCAGAGTTAGTCATATCAAGTTTTTTTTTTCCCCCCTCAGGCAAGATGCTGAATAGAATCTTTTCTGGCCAGTGTGAAGACTTTTACAGATTGTTCAGACTTTGTAGGAGGCTCTCTTCCCATTAAGGGAGAAAATAATTAGAACATTTTATGCTCTTATTTATTCTGCATAATAAAAAATGAATTCAATTATACATGATTCCAAGAGATTTAACAAATTATTACTAGCTCAAAATAAGAGATATCTTCTCTGATATGTGAAACAAAACATGTAGCACAAGATGTTGTCTAAATGATGGGGTTATGGAGCCCAGTATACAACGTGACAAAATAACATGATACGGTTAAGAGATCCGGAAATGTTAGGGTTGCAGAAATCAGTATAAGACCATACTCTCCTGATCAGAAGCTGATTTGTGCATCCTTGCTTTTTCAAATCCAATTTAAATTTCTATCTTTTTAATCTTAGTCTACAGTCTTTACAATCTTAATAATTCAGTGAGATCTTTGTAAAGATTAATAAGATCTTTACAAACATTAATTCAATTGGATTACCCTACACTGTTTCAGACAACAGCTTTTCAAGAGGCTGGATCATCTATGAAGTCTTGTTTCCATGCCTTGGCCTAGGCCTATCTTTCACCTAGGATACGTCTATCTCTCAATTCCAATAGCAAAATGCATGCAACTTTTCTCCCTCTGCCTTCTAAAACCACGTCTCTTTTCTGTACAGCTTATTCCCTCCAGGCTTCTAGAAGATGCAAGTCATGATTTAAGTTTCAATTTTATATTTGATTGGTTTACATTATGTCATCTCTTCCAGTTATTACATGTAAAATTATTTGCAAGCATAAGTAGACTTTTCTTGGTAGCAGCACTGTGTTTGAGGCTCATTTACTCCTGTCCCTGATGAGCTCGTAAGAGCAATCTAATGGAAGTTGCTCTATGTTGACCAGCCATCATATCTGCAGCACTTCTCACATGTCATCATGTCAGAAACCATGTTTATGCTTTCTGTGCATGATGTCATTTAAACTTTATCAATACCTTTTGCACAGAAATAATTATCCTCACCTGATAGAAAAGCATCTGGGATCAGTGTGGCGGTTTGAATGAGAAGTGTCCCCTTTCTTTGTCTTTTTGAGACAGGGTCTCCCTGTAACCCCAGATGGCCTAGAATTTACCATGGACACCAGGCTGTTCTCAATTGCACAGAGATCCACCTGCCTCTGTCTTCTTGAGTGCTGAGATTAAGGGCATGCAAGAACAACTGGCTTGATTAAAGATTTTGAACATTTGGTCAGTTGGTGGCCCTGTGTGGGAGGGTCATGGAACCTTTAGGTGATGTGAGCAACCTGGAGGAAGCATGTCACTTTAAAGGGTTTGAGAGCTCAGAGCCTTGTCCCACTTCAGTTGCTCTCTTTGCTTCCTATGAGAGATTGAAGATGTGAGCTCTCAGCTTTCTGTTCTGGCCACCACAGCTACCCTGCCATAATGGACTCAATCCTCTAGACCTGAAAGCCCAAATAAACCCTTTCTTCTGTAAGTTGCCTTGATCAGGGTGTTTAGCTAATATGATTAGAGAGAGTTCAGGTCAGGAAGCTAGTAAGCATTGAGCTTAGAGTTCAAGCCTTTTGATTTTATAGTCCATTTTCCTAAATGTTATAACTGGAGTTCACTACTCTGTGTTTTACTCAGTGTCACAACAGTGGCTAGCTTGTTAGAAATCCATTTGAATTAGTCCTAGAAAAGAGAATAAATTAATATCAAAAGGATCAACAACTAGAACAAATCAATTCAGATATAAAGATATTTAAGTCTAGGTAGTTTAATTTCTGGGCATGAGAAGAAACCTGCAAGAAATAATTTTTATCTCTGAGCAATCAGGAAAAAAAATCTCAGACCACTTGTATTTTACCAAAGTGAAAGTTCTTTTAGCTCAAACTCAGCAACCCCTTCATAGTCCAATAAGTTGGTAGCAGGAACAGTGATTTTGTGCTGTTAAAACTGGTATATGAGATCTCTGCAGTATATGGTACACTGAAAGAGGCTGATGTCAGCTCCTGGCTGCCTCACCCCTCATTGAGAAAGACCTGGGATTGGCCATCGGGAATGTATAGCATGTGTGCCTGAAACTAGCTTGGTTACTCTGATCTCTGAGCTGCTGCTCTCCCTTTTGCTTGACTGGATTGTTTTCTCTAGGTTGCCCTTGGTTTTCCCTTACATACTTGGTGGAAGTGCACCCAAACTTTTTCTCATACTCTCACATGTACCACATAGAAAATATGTACCATGATTTGAAAGGGATGATTATATCAGCAGTTGTCTGGAGGCTTTCATTTTCATTTTTTCTCTTTGGCAGGAGGGGTACTTTTCTCTATGATCTTCTGTTACAGACTAGTATCATTATGTGGTCAGGAGAGCCCCTTACCCTAATATTCCATCCACCCAACTTCAACTATGACCTACCTACAGCTTTCTGCTATAGGCATCAGACAGCACCATTGTACTAAAAAGGCAAATCCATAATACTAAGAATCACCTCAATAGTGCATTAGTGTGCACCACTTAGATCTTGTAGGCAGGCCTCTTTGACTGAGTCCAGCTTACTTTCCTTCCTTAATAGCGCACATTAGAAACACACTGCAAGCACTGAGATGAATTCACCCATCTTATCCCAACTTAGTGTCATACTCACAGGAAGTTTATAATCTGAATAATTTGCAAACAGGTCTTGAATGTAGGGATGCTTCAGGAGAATATTAACTTCAATCGGTTCCAGATTCTTGGCACCTAGATCCTGAAATGTTTTTATGAAGTTCTTTAAAGAAGAAAAAACAGTGACGTTAATTAATCACAATCTTGCAGATATTTAAAAATAGCTTAACTTAAAGAACAAATCCTCCGTAAATTCTATACAATACAATGATAAAGTTTTAGGGAGTTATATGAAAGCATTCTAACTAACCTCTGCATAGATATTCTCTGTCTTGAGGTAGCTGGCAAATCTGTTCGCATCAAGGGCTTCATTTCCTCCTCCAAACACCTTGAGCAGTGTTTCCATGGAAATCTTTTCAGTGTTTGCATTTTCAGAGATTTCTTCTTCCTTTTGTTCTCTCTCATCTTTCTCTTCTTTCAATTCTCTCTCTTCTCTTGTAACATTTTCCTCAGGTTCAGGATATTCCTCAGTGGGACTCACAGTGGAGAAGGATGTCTATCAAATTAAGCAAAGAGAACATGAAGTCAGACTGAAGAATTTCCAGTAACAGAGATGTTTATAAAGCCCAATTCACTACACAAGTGCCAGACAAAGAAAGGCTAGGGCTTATCACAAGCCCATTAAACAAACTATAGAAGAAATATATTAGCTACAATCAAAATCACAGTATCAAAATCCTGCTTAAGTTTTTCTCACAATACACAGAAGTCTCAGTGTGGGGTGTGTCTCCTCCATGTACTCCTGTAATTATGATAATACCAGGTACATCAAATTTCTCCATAAAGGTACACTGGAATAAGTTAAAGTAGTGCCAGACTTCTACATTTGGGTATAGATTTTTAACAAAATTAGCTTTTGAACTGATTGCAGTTGAGGTTACATAAGTTGATCGCTCAAGAAATTATTATTATTGATTATCTTTGAAACTTAAGAGTTTTGAATTCAGATGCTTGTATTTTGAGTATGGAAAAGAGTAAACTCTTTCTGAAGTAATTTCCTATGTATTGAAATCCTTAAAAACATTTGTGCTCCTTGACTCAGGTACAGATTAGGAATGATCCTAAACAAATATTTATGGATTCAAAGAGTTTCGAATATGGAAATTAATTCAGTGCTATAACAAACATAGAACACTTGTAATCCCAAATGTGGGAGAAGAGTGAAACAAATTATATTTTTATGGATTAGAATACTTAATATAACGAGAAAGTACTCATTGAATAAGTACAGAAAAATCCACAAGATAAAGTAATAGATACACTAGAATTCGCATTTTGTTATGTGTTCGTATTTATTAATAAAATAAAGGGCATAGTACATTAAAGTGTCAAAATTAGTTACCTACAGGGGTAGGAGCAAGTGATTTCCTATCTTTCATTTTGCATTTCTTCAAAATTTCTAGGGTAAATTTGTCTGTACATATGCCATATATATGTGTGTCTTCTCTAATGATACGATAATCAATATTTAATTATTAGGCATAAGAAAGTGAATAAATTTTGAATTTCAGTGATCCAGAAATCAGTGAACACATGAGTTCTGGTTCTCTTTTACAGGAGAGATAGTAATTTAAGGGAGTGCCGATGTCATTAATTCAACTTCTATATTAAGTGAGTATGTTATTTAAGTGCTTTCCAAATAAACATGACATGTCGTGCATGAAAGAACTATTGTACTAAATTAAATATTCGGCAGTTGTATATCCCCAAAAGAAAATTTGGAAGGACTGTTAGGAGTATTGTGAAGATAGACTGCAATTATATTAGATCTGGGAGGTTTTAGCTTTGGCTTTGGCTGGATTTTTATATCTTTAGCTAAATAGGGAATTTAATATAATTTTGAAAATAGGATTAAAATAGTTGAAAATTTGAGGATTAAACATACATTTTCATGTGATTATTAAGCAATTTTTAAAAATAAAAACATATACTATATATGTACAATGTATATAAAATATATATTCTCACCACTTATAAAATATAAGCATATAAAATATACTATATATTCCCACCTCTTTTCCACTTGAAAAGATTGAGAAAATTCCATGGTAGAAATAGGAAGCTGTCTTTAGTTTCTCTCCCTAAGAACCTTGGTGATCACTTCTTTACTCATCAATAGTTTGCTGGGTCAATAAAACATGTTGTCTGGTGAGATGAACATAGCTAGGGTATAACATATCTTGTGGAATGAATATGGAATGAATGACATTCTGTTCAGAGTGCAGCATAGGTACCGTAGCAACATGGTAAAGACAGAACCTGTGGTTAACAAAATGACTAACTGTCTAGATGAGCAGGAAGTAGAAAAATTAAACTAAGAGGTGATTCATGCCTTTAATCCCAGAACTGGGAAGAGAGAGACAGGCAGATCTCTGTGAGATTGAGTCCAGCCTGGTCTACACAGTGAGTTCCAGGCCAACTGGGTTTACAGGAAGACCATGTCACAAAACAAAAGAAAACACACACACACACACACACAAAAACCAAACAATAACAACAAAGTTAAACAAAGAAAACCCTAGCGTCTGTTACTATTTCCATAGTTAGGGACATACTTACTTTTAAAGGATGGATACAAGCATCATGGCACAAATAATTTTTTAAAAAACCTTAGTCTAGACAGGTCACAGGACAGAGACGAGTCCAACACTAGTTTTCTACTAAATAGTTATTGTATTAAACTTATTCCTAATGACTTACTGTTATACTTATTGATTAATGTATCTCCCAACTCTCACTAGAGAAGTTTCCTTATGCAGCAGATAGTGATTAACAAAGAAACCCACAACTGTTGCAGAGAGCAAGAGGCTGCAGAGTGCTTATCCCTGAATAGGACACCCACATCAAATTCCTGCCTCCCAAAGCTCAGGATTCATTGCAGACGAGGAGGCAGAAAGATTGTAAGAGCCAGAGGTGGGGGATGACCACAGGAAAACAGATTTTGTCATACAGCTGAGCAGTTGCTCACATGAACTCACAGTTATGGTGACAGCATGCACAAGTCATATCCAAGCTCAAATCAGAAAGAATTCAACCATAGACATGGAGAAGTGGGTAAGAAACCCCAACCTGACCTAAGGAAGTTTTGGCAGCAGATGACTGATGGGAGTGGGAGAGACAGTCTCTTTCAAGGATGGAACTCTTGGTAGCTTAATCAGGCTCCAAGGGGTGGACCATACTGAAGGATATTTGGAAACACAAATTAGACTCTATAAGCCTTATTATATGCAGTAAAATGTGGAGGGGGCAAATGGAGAGTCTCGCAAGAGACTTGTATGAGAATCGCAAGAGTTCAATAAAAATGTTTCAAAAAGCAAATAATTTTAATCCAAAATGTAACAATTTAAACATCTGAAATTTAGGAAAAAGAGCCCTAACTTATTAACGCCAGAGGATGCTTTTTTGCCTTTTTATTAAATTAAATTAATTAATTAATTTATTTATTTATTTTTGTCTTTTTGAGACAAGGCCTCCTTGTAGCTCCAGCTGTCCTGGAACCCACTATGTAGACCAGGCTGGGCTCGAACTAAC